TGCGCCCACGATCTCTGGATGGTTATGCACACCAACCCCTCTGCATCAGGGAGTGCGTGACTGTCATAGATGTTAGAAATGGTCCCTTTGTCCTTAGGACATGTGGCGCGACGAGAGTGTTCCAGAATTGGCGTTGGACTGGACTTCTTTACCCTGGGCTCTCCTTTGGCTGAATTGGATTGGGGCTAGGTTCGTCCGCAAGTCTTTTGATGCTGTTGGGGGTTGCCCTTTGGACTCGGCCCTCTCTGCTCTTGACGTGGACAAGTTGTGGACGCTTCATTTGGGCCATTTTGCGAGCAAGGGTTTCCTGGACTTAATGAGCTCTTGGAATATGGCGGCCCATACCCGAGATCCCATCATTATCAACTATTAATTGGGCATGTTTCAAGGTATTTTGGTATATTTAGACAAATATTTTGGAAATATACGAAAACGTGTTTCAAAATATTTTGGTATATTTAGATCATTATTTTGGAAATATACTTTTACATTTTTATTCGTTTCATGTCTATTTCTAAAATATTGTCGAAACGTTTCCATTTGTTGNGACAAATATTTTGGAAATATACGAAAACGTGTTTCAAAATATTTTGGTATATTTAGACCCTTATTTTGGAAATATACTTTTACATTTTTATTCGTTTCATGTCTATTTCTAAAATATTGTCGAAACGTTTCCATTTGTTATGTGACCAAAATAATGTATCAAAACGAAATTTTAATCTTTAGCTATGAGTACTTCATTTTTAACATTCTCAAGTGCAAGAAACAATCATTCTTCTTCCTTCAACATAACTAGCAGATTCCCAGCATAATTATATGTTTGGGCAATGTCCTGTGTTTGCTGATTATAATTAATTTGGGTACTGGTTGCTTATTCCTAGTTTCCACCCATGTTTCTTTGATGTAGACATTGGTTTTTGAGCACCAACATGCTCTAACAAATTTATTTCATTGGTCCAAGAAAATCGTTATGATATTATGCCAGAATAACATGCTTCAAATAATTACAAACCCCAACTATGTCCCTTTGTCAAATTTGGCACACAATATCTTCAATGATGAAAACTTCACACTTAGAATCAAAAGAAGGCCAATTTTCCCTATTAACTTGCACAAGAGTTTTTAAACCCTTTTATGCAAGGGTTGTTAGGGTTGGACTTTTCAAGTCTTACAAACTTCCAATATAATCGATCTACCCTCCAACTAATTATGGTTGCATTTAGCATAACTTCTTAAAATAAAATTACATCTCAAAAATAGACTTTTTTAAAATGTACTTTTAAAAAATGTTCCATGTTTGATAAACATGTATTTAAAAGTGCTTATAAATCTAGAAATCCATGTTATAATATAAAAGTGAGTTTGGTTGCAGTCTCAAAAGTATAAAATGACACTTGTTTAACATTCTTACCCTTAACCTTATTGTAAATATCTCTATATTAATTTGAAAAGTCATTTTCTAATATTTTTGGCAATTCTATCATATATACAAAATAAATAAATTAGGGGGAGAAGGCTTGAGAAGCCTCCCTTCCACATTTCTAAATTTCCTAAATTTTTATTTTTTTGTAATTATCATACCAAGTTTTTATCCAATTACATTCTGTCGTGGGTTGTTTTTAACCATTCCTTAACTCTCACTATTTTAAAAAAAAATTTAATTGCATAAGGCAATTTTTTTAGTATTATTCTTTTCTCTTTCTTGTTACATAAAAAGATGAAAGAAAATTAAATTTTAAAATGACAAAATATATCATGTGCATCACACGAGCGAGCACACGAATAATTTAATTAAAGCAAACATGTTTAAAACTTAACAATTAAACCAGAAAGCTTAATGATAAATTAGTGAAAACCATAGTTTTCTCCTTGAAATAAATGAAAAAATGATTTCTCCTTTTTCTTAGGTGGGTATGCAAAATAGTTTTCCTATAATTTTAAAATAGGGATTATGGTAAGAAAATTAAAGATAATAGAATAATTTGGTTCCATAGCTAAAATTAAGGAACCAATTTGGCGAGAAGTCTTAAAAGCATGATTTTGAGAAGCTCGGCGAGTTAGCTTTTCCATATGCCCATTTGAAGGAAGCACTTCTCATGTCGAAGTTAAATTTGTTGGCCCACCAAACAGCTCGCAATTCTCCAAATGGACTTCTCCACTCGAAAGTCCATCTACAAGCTGTGCCAAACACATCCCACGTAAGAGGGCACTAAACCCAAAAGTTTATTAAATAAACTTAACACCTTAAAGTGTGGAATGTGACCTTAAATAATCTGGAATTAGGCCAGTGAGGTTCATCCTGGCAAGTGTAAGTGGACCTTCATGACCTACATAGTAGAAAAGATTCATTGGGTATCAACCCATACGGATTGTATTAACTCAATTCAACATACAAAGTACCAATTTGGGCTGGAAGCGATTAATAGTCCCATTATAAAGTGGTTATTGGACAAGAGCGATACTATTGAAATCTAATTTACTGACCTTAATTCACTATGACCTTTGCATTCATTGTAGTCTCCATCAAATATTGGAACTTAGTGTTAATCCAATAGTTCCACTGAAACTACATCATTATGTCAACAAATAAAATCATATTTTTAGGTCTAAATAAGATTACTCATTGGACAATGATAGTTTGCGAAGTAAGTGAAACCGTGAAAGGTGGTCCCATAAAATCAGATTTAATGTCAACCNCATATGCCCATTTGAAGGAAGCACTTCTCATGTCGAAGTTAAATTTGTTGGCCCACCAAACAGCTCGCAATTCTCCAAATGGACTTCTCCACTCGAAAGTCCATCTACAAGCTGTGCCAAACACATCCCACGTAAGAGGGCACTAAACCCAAAAGTTTATTAAATAAACTTAACACCTTAAAGTGTGGAATGTGACCTTAAATAATCTGGAATTAGGCCAGTGAGGTTCATCCTGGCAAGTGTAAGTGGACCTTCATGACCTACATAGTAGAAAAGATTCATTGGGTATCAACCCATACGGATTGTATTAACTCAATTCAACATACAAAGTACCAATTTGGGCTGGAAGCGATTAATAGTCCCATTATAAAGTGGTTATTGGACAAGAGCGATACTATTGAAACCTAATTTACTGACCTTAATTCACTATGACCTTTGCATTCATTGTAGTTTCCATCAAATATTAGAACTTAGTGTTAATCCAATAGTTCCACTGAAACTACATCATTATGTCAACAAATTAAATCATATTTTTAGGTCTAAATAGGATTACTCATTGGACAATGATAGTTTGCGAAGTAAGTGAAACCGTGAAAGGTGGTCTCATAAAATCAGATTTAATGTCAACAAGTTGCAAGAACTAAGATACAAGCTTTGCTTCCATAGTCTGCAAGGCCAACTTTGAAGACAATCAACCCCAAACGTCACTATTAGTGCTGGTTCTGAAGAGTCTAAATGTAGCAAGCTAATATAACAATAATCAACTTGAGTTGCATTTTCTCTTTTTGGCTTTTTTGGGTTTGGCCCTGACAAATTGGAGACATCAAATTGTTACACTGTTGTTAAAGGGTCCATATCTTGGAAACACATAGAATAGAGCCAAGACATTTCAACGCTTTGTCTGTGAGCACATATTAAACAAGTACACAAGGAATTTGAATCAGAGCCTACTCAGTATAAGCAGATTATATGTCTAATAAGACTAGACTTGCAAGTTGCATTTACCACCACTTCATCCAAGAATATGACCTACCACATACAACATAAATGCCTTTCCTGATTAAAATCTATAGGGTTGAACAATAGAAGGGCTGAAGAGCTCTATCCCCAAGAGAGCAAACCACACTTTCTGTCAGAACCAGGCAATCTCCCTTTTCCTGCTAACAAACCTATATACTTAAAGTACTCTCCTTCCACTTCCGGAAGTTAAAAATTTCAATGTATATGTACCATATTAAACTTTTCCAGACTGCATACAACTGGCATTATATCTTTCATTCAGCATAGCAGTCTGTAATTATGCATTTCTAGATAATTTGATGCCATATGAACCAATGAATGCACTATAAAGCTTATCACCAAACACGTACACAATAAGAGATAATGATTGAAATATGGTCTTGTCTATATACTGAACCTAAATTAGGAAAATGCTTAGCATGTCCATGTGTTAAAAACTCCAACAATGCACAGACCATATCACTAAGTTACCAAATCAAACATACCTGCAGAACCATGTGCAGACTCTTCTTTACCTGCCTTCACTAACCATGGTGGCTGTCAGTGAAGGCGGAGACCACTGCATAATCTTCCACATATTACAATGCCCTAATGATGGTACCACACTTGTGCTTCATCAAGGACAGAGGGAGAGCGAGAGAATAAGCAAATAACTGAAACAGACCATATGGAGACGGCCTCATGCCATGCTCAATCCCTAGCAATGGTAATAGAAGAATCCAAGTAACATTTACCAAATGCACCACATAGACAGCCAGCAGCATTAGATCTCCCATTGGGTCAAAATGTCCCATTTGCACCTTGCTAGACAGAACCAGCCTTACTGAAGCTGCAAGCTTATATATTGGCTCGACTAATGGCTTCCAGAGGATTACAATCATAGTTTTGGAAGAACACAAGATTTCCCGCATACGAAATTTTCCATAACAGAGCATCCAAGAGGAAAAAATAATACCCAAGTTTGCCACAACAGAGCATCTAGGAAGAAAAAATAATCCCCAAGAATAGATTAAAAAAATATTTCCCAATGAAACATTAATTTCTTTAAGAGAATTGGGTGCCACACTGCCATACTAGGAATAATAGGACATTAGGGTGGTGCTATGATCACTAAATATGTTTTTCTACCAAAAACATTATTTTTTTTTATTTCAAGCCTCTTTAGGATAATAGAAAATTAATTCCATTCCGCTGATAAACAGTTTATAAACAATGACAAATCGATTTCAAAAGTCTTTCTTGCATGGTCCACATCCTAGACAATTCTTGTAAATAGTATTTCAAAGGTAAACATAAGATTTTGTGAAATACAAGTAAGCTACCATAGCCACTGCACCAAGTCCCGCGAGTAGCCAATAGAAGTAATCAAGATGTGCCCGATTTAAATTATCTGATATCCAACTATATTGACCATCTCCACTCGTTGCTTTTTCGATGACATAGATGAGAAAGCTGCTTAAGAAGCTACCTATGCCAATGATACTGAGGTAGAGAGCAAGACCTACACTTCTCAAATCACTAGGCACCTGATCATAAAAAAACTCCTGCAGACCAACTAAGGTGAATACATCAGCAATTCCAAACAATAAATATTGAGGTACCAACCACCACACGCTGATGGGAACTGTCGCCTCTGGCATATCCACCAGCCTGTATTCTAGAGCAATTTTGAGGCGCTCCCTCTCAACTATAGCTGCCATCACCATGGAAAGAACAGATAAAACCAATCCAGTTCCAATTCTTTGAAGCATTGTTATGCCAGAGGGTTTTCTACTCATAGCTCTTGCAATGGGAACCAAAATGCGGTCATAGATGGGAACAAAGGTAACAATGGAAATGCCAATAAAAGATTGTAGTGAAGCAGCTGGTATATCAAAACCTGAACCAATGGATCTGTCCATGGTTAATCCTTGCTTGGTAAATAAAGTTGATGACTGTGCATAGACAGTGCCATATGCCAAACATGTAACCCATATTGGAAACAACCTGAGAATTGCCTTTGCTTCTTCTACTTCTCTGATGCTACATAGCTTCTCGTCTTCTTTTGAACCATCAACTGCAACCAAGGCTTTGTTGAGAAACCTGTAGCAAACCCAGAACACTATAATTGAATAACAATGAACATCCCATCAATCCAGTGACATACAAGAATTTTCCACTAAGATAATCATAAACCAAAAGCTTGTATGTCTAGTCTTACAATGATGTTCCTTACTTGAAACATGCTATCACTTACTTGAATTGTTGAGAACCTTGGTGAGGCAGGGTTCCCTTGGCTTCCTCCACAATAGATATTGCTGAAGAGGTAGTTCGCCTATTCCTAGCTGCTTTGACGAACACCCGACCAATTCTGATAAACGGGCTTTTCTCATCCCCTTTGATGCTAAACCGATAAGTTATACTTCCAAGCAAGAATATAACNACAATAGATATTGCTGAAGAGGTAGTTCGCCTATTCCTAGCTGCTTTGACGAACACCTGACCAATTCTGATAAACGGGCTTTTCTCATCCCCTTTGATGCTAAACCGATAAGTTATACTTCCAAGCAAGAATATAACCAGTGCAAGGCCCATGACAATGCAGGGGATTCCAAACCCAAGACCCCAACTAAGGTTGTCTTGAATGTAGCTCAAAATCAAGATTGCTATTGTGGCTCCTCCACACAGACCAAAATACCACCAGTTGAAGAATGAGTTTCTGGATTTACACTCTTCTGGATCTTGCCCATCAAACTGATCAGCTCCAAAAGCCTGAACGCAAGGTTTGTGCCCTCCTTGAGCTACTGCTACTAGATAAAGTGAGAAGAAGAAGAAGAAAATTTGGAGTTGATCACGTGAACATGACAGGATATTGTTAGCACTTTGGCAGTCAGTAGAGCTGAAAGAAGGAAGCACAGCTGAAAAGGTCAAGAAGCCAAGTCCCTGTGATTCAACCCAATCCCACCAATAAATCACCTTTTTTTTTATAAGTGAATCCAACATATAAATTATGAGCACTTCCTTGATGAAAAATATGTATATTGATTAGCTCTCGGCTGAAACATGGTCTAAATTGATCACAATCAGGCCTCTTCAATCAATCAAAAGGTTGATTTCTAATGGAACAAAACCAATGCACAAAAAAGACTCGAGATCAAATGCTTAGTGTAACAGATCATATGACAAGGAAAAGTGTAAATGATCAAATAAATTTCCAAATACATACAGACCTCCTTGGAATCCAAAGTTGTACCTTTGAACTTCCAAGTAAAAATCACCTAAATTGTAAGTTCCAACATAAGAAGACAATAAAAGTTCAGTTTTATAACAGAACGGATTAGGTAAGTTTTGTGAAAAATATGGATTCAGATCACCCAAAAACATGTTCTTCGCGATAGGTGTTTGTAAAAGAATGGATTTAAACACTTATGCTTTAGCCCAGCCACCTGTAATTCTTCCAAACAGGAGTTCATGAGTCCAACACTCATCAAAGACAAGGTATAATATCATGCCCCACTTGGGTGCTCTCTCTTCTTTCCATAGAACGCACATAAACTCTAATGTTGAGATACCTCTACTCGTACTGTGAAGATATGTGGTAATGTTAATATTGTACCAGAGAGAGAGAGAGAGAGAAAGAGAAGTAAAAGAACTAATTCTAGGTATGCACAAATTTTATATCTATATTTTTAGATATACTGCCCCAGTATGGCTAAGAATAACAAATTTGTGCATATCCAGTCTATCCCTAAGCTTATTGTATCAGTTATTTCCCCAGTAGGTTTAAAATGTATTGTTTCCTTTGCTTTCACAAAATGGTTAACATCTTTACAGTAGAGCATAAGCATTTGAATTTGAACCACAAAGTGTAACGAAAGGTCACTGAACTACTATATATTCAGTGAGAGAAGAGTTCTTCCTTTCACTCGGCGCCTTCCATTTAGACACAATCAAAATATTTTATACATGCTTCAGCAATACTATTAAAATAAAATATAGGGGAAAAATGACCATTTAAATCCCACAAATTAAAACAAAGGTCGGGCATTCCAACACTCCAAAAGCCTAAATGCAAGGCTTGTGCTCTCCAAAGATCAAAATTTCGTTTCACTGCATAGTTTCAGTGAGTTTGGAAACGGAAATGTTTCAGAAGTATTTCGAAAACAAGATAGAAACAAAAAAAATTTTGAAAATTTATTTCCGAAATATTAGTCGAAACAACNTTTCGTTTCACTGCATAGTTTCAGTGAGTTTGGAAACGGAAATGTTTCAGAAGTATTTCGAAAACAAGATAGAAACAAAAAAAATTTTGAAAATTTATTTCCGAAATATTAGTCGAAACAACCAAAACGTAGGTCAAAAGACCCCGAAATACTTCAAAACATAGAAATTTTGATATTCAATGATTCGTTTCGATTTCCATGTAAACAAAAACATTTCGGATGTTTCAACTTTTTCGAAACGAAATTTAATTCCTTGGTACCCTTCTTGACCAGNAAAACATAGAAATTTTGATATTCAATGATTCGTTTCGATTTCCATGTAAACAAAAACATTTCGGATGTTTCAACTTTTTCGAAACGAAATTTAATTCCTTGGTACCCTTCTTGACCAGTTGCTAAGAAGAAGAAGACAATATAAAGCTGATGACAAAAGAATGTCATGATATTGGCAACAATTTGGTGGTCAGTAAAGCTGAAAGTGTCAAGAGGCTAAGTCCTTGTCATTCAATCCAATCCAATCTATAAATTACGTTCTCGCTAAGTGAATCCATCATATAAATTATTAGAAGTTCCTTGATGAAAAATGTGGATCTTGATTAACTCCAGACTAAAACACATTATAAACAATCACACCAAACCTCTCCGATCAATCAAAAGGTTGATTGCATTTGATCCAACCAAATGCGCCAAAAAGACTGAAGATCAAATGTTAAGTGTAATAGGCCATATAACCAAAAAAAAGGGCAGATGATCAAATAAATTTTTTGATTGATGTAAAAATTCTTGAAATCCAAAGAGGCTATAAAAATGCTAGCTGTCGAGGTATAATAGCAAACATTGGGAACTTGTCACACTTCCTAACATATACTTGTGCATCCTTCTGAATATAAAGCCATCAATACCCTTGAGAGATGGCCCTTAGGGCAAGGCTTCTTCCTCCAGCATGGACACTGCACACTCCTTCGTGGATCTCATAAAGTATATCTTTTACTTTGCTAGGGTGGACACATAGCAACTACGGCCCAGAGAAGGACCTCTTGTAGAGCTTATGATCCGATGACAACCAGTAACGAGCTAACTTTGAGACAATGAATCTTGCCTCCTTATCTTCTGGGAGAGCCTCATTCTTTAGATAATGAACAAAAGGGTCCATCCAACTTGGTGCTTGCTCCACGCAATTGACATTTATTGGGTCTTCATGTATGCTTGGCTTCTCAAGATACTCCACCTCAATCGTTCACTTTAAACCTTATTTATCAATAGAAGTTAGAGTAGCAAGAGCATCAAAATGTTCATTTTGGTCTCTTGGGATCTGGATCACCTTGTAGGACTTCAATCGTCCAAGCAACTCCCTTGCCTTCTCTATGTACAAGATCATGGCATTTGAACGGGCTTTATACTTCCTGTAAAGTTGGTTGACCACCAACTGAGAATTGGAGTATATATTTAACTCCTCAGCCCCCA